GCACATTCTCCGGTTTTTTCCATTTCGGTGTCCTTCCAGAACCTGGATATATACTTAAATGCATCACGAAAATTTGAAATCTTTCTCCGGGCTTTTTTGCTGGCCATTTCATGAACTTTTTATACATAAAGGATTACATGTACGAGTCCGAAAGGTCCTCTCTGTAATGCTTTGGCAATTTTTTTTCTATTTTTTAGATAGCCCCACAATCTTTCGATTTTTTGAGTATGATCCCCGTTTAGGGTTTACAAAATTTTCTGAGTGATTAACTGTTCTCTGTTCAATTTCTATTCCTTCAAGATCGTTTATGTGGGTATATCCTTTCCATTTATCAGTTAAGACTGACAGATCTTACAAATTTAGATATCACCCAATTAAGCGTGTATTCAGATCTATCATTTACTTGACAAATAAAGCAACTATCGTCTTGCCTGCATATTCCGCCTACTATCCATTTTGTACTTTTCACTTTACGCCCTTTTTCGTATTTACGTTTACATATTACTATCTCATCTATTTCGACGGTTTTATTCGGACCTCCGATTTTAAATGAAGTCATATTGTGCAAAGCGATAAGCATTACTAAACGTATATGGTTGGACCAATCGACAGCGGCCTTTGTAGAAATACCTCCAAACCTTGGTAATGCCATATAAATGACAAAATTCCAGCCCAAGAAATATTATCACATTTGCCATTAAACGTTCCATTATAAGCCGAAAACTTTTTTCCGCAATTACTACATCGTAACATACAAGAATTTCTATCACAACGACGTCATACTTATTAATTTGCATATTTACACATGAACACATTCCACGGTCAGATTGATGATAAATTTACATAATTCAACACACGTTATTAGACAGCGCCCTCTATTAACATCACCACTAAATGCACTGATTCGAGATTACCGGAAGCGCCGCCATTTTGTCACCATAGGTAAAATTTAACCTAGTAAAAAAATTATTATTTAGTGTTATAACATTATATAAATACTTTAAATTGTTTAATTTGTTCATTTTACCTTTGCTGGTAATCCTCGTTGTTAAATATTTCCACCATTTTTTTTTCAACAAATTTCCCGTGAGTCAATGCGCGACGTTCACCGAGTCACGTATTTTACTTGGACTTCAAACGTCAAACGTGTACTTCTGCTTGCCGTACGAGTTTAACGTTTGAACTTGAGCCTCAACCTCTAATATGTCGCCAATGCCGACTTCAGTGTTAAGCGAAGCTAGCAACTTCGCTGTTTTGTAGCATTCAATATGGCGGCGCTCAGTTTACACGCCCATACGGTATTAACACTAGGGACATCGTGAGTCTTTGTCGTATCGCGATAGAATTGACGCGGAGTCGAAAAGAAACGATCCACTGGTCACGGATAGTCGATCCAAGAACGAATCAAATGGCGACGATTGCTTTCTTCTTGTGTTTTGTTAGTTTTTTTGCTCTCATTTTACGTTAGGTGTGTGCAATTCTTTCTTTTTGCCTCCTAAATTCCGTTAGGCACGGTCAACGGCGTCGGCCAGCAATCTCTATGGCCACAGTGTATCTCAAAAACGAAATAAACGGACTACCATTTTTTTATTACATTTTTCGATTCTTCATTGCAATTAATGGAAAATAGCAAAGTTTCATCTGAATCGGCCCATCAAATTTTGACAACGAACACAATTCTATAAGCCACACAGAAGAGGTAAGATACAAGTGCATACATCTATAATCATTTACAAACACGATCCAATTAAATAAATAATAACAGAATTATATCTAGTGTTCGGGAATTATTTAATAATTATCTCAATGGCCAGTTGATAGAGATATGAGGCTCATCAAACTACAATGGAGCCAACTAATCGTGATCACATTGAAAAAAAGACTTTCTGTCTTCAATGGATCTTCCTCGGCCACAACAATATGAATATAAATACCTGCAATAGTTGTAAAAACCCATATACAACAACAAAAGTTTTTTACAAATGGAAAAACAAATCTGCAATATTTAACACAATAGTAACACTACACGATTACACTGTAACTGTTCCGTACAGTACATCCATCCGATTACAATTCTACACACAGTTCAAACAAATAACAAATATATTAAAGTAAGTCATGTAATAATAAAAGGCCTAATTGTTACGTAAGGAGTGGGTTAAAAATTCATAAAAGGTGGAGAATTACGGGAATGAAATGTAGTTTGCAAGGTAAGTATTGTCAGTAAGAGTTACTTATTTGTTCACGTATTATCTACCAGAGGGCGCAATAATCGTAAGTAGGCTATTTTCGCGTATAATCACGTGCTGTATTTCATTCCTACGATTTCAAATTTTAGTTGTTTCGTTTGTTAGCGATAAAGTGCCTAAATTAGTTCGAAACGTGTTATTTAACGCAAGGCAAAACATATTTTCTGAATAGATAGGTCAGGTGTTCGGAGGAAGTAAGTTTATTTAAAGGACTTCCTAAAAATCCGGAATTATAACTGAAATGGCGATTCTCGGGGAAGACAGATTTCCTTCGCTAAAGACTCTTTGCACTTGGTTTTATTATTAAAGACTGGAATGCCACTAACAGGAGTACGTGGGAATTCTCGAGTAAATGGAAACTTAGGTGGTAATTTGTTTTATCCGAGCTGTTTTTCACAGTTTTGCGATGCTTTGTTTTAGGTAGTGTTAAACGTTACTTCGTGCATCCTCGGAATCGTTGCTCCGTAACTTTTTCTCACGCACGGCACACCAGAACTCCGTGTAACACAAGTAAAAGTATACAAAAAATAGTACAGTACATACTAAGAAATAGTGATTTAAAAATAGCAATGGGATCGGCATTTATTTCTAATCGTTTTAAAACTTTAAATATATATTTTTTTTTAAATTATATTTTTAAAAAACTTTCCTTTTATATTTTTAAAAAACTTTTCCCGTTCATTTATACTTGCAAGGAGACGATTGAAACTTGCTAAGTGTGTAGCCCTAAACACAAACAATTCTTTGTCCAAATAATAGGACCAATTTCTCAAGCTTTTCTGAAAAACAAGCCTCTGAAATTTGAGTGTTTAGCTTATAAGTCTGAAAGTTTCTAGCGTAGCTTAGCGATAGCCGAATGAATGACATACAACTCGGCTATTGTCATTACAAGAACAGGAGGAACTTCCAAAGACATTCGCTAAACAGTTAATTTTGAGGCCCATTTTTCAAAAACGCTCGAGAAGTGGGTCCCTGTTATTTGGACAAGGAGCTGTTTGTGTTAAGGGATATGCGCTCACTTAGTAGAGCATCCCTCTAATACACAAACCTCCCTGCAAAACCTCAAAAATTTTCGACAAAAAATGAGAACAAGTGAGCCGATCCAGTTCTGGACAAACCACGGTAAATTCAGGTAATATCTGGACAGATTTTATCACCGCGACATCAATTACTGTGACGTGTGCAACGTGCCAGTCGGAGCACGACACTACCTTCTAGAGTGCCCTATATTGAAAGACGTCCGACAACACCTAAGACTCCTCCTCTCGCAAGACCACAGCTTGTCTGGATAGCTTAATGAAGACGGGAGAACTATTTAACGCCACAAGGAATCCGATCCACTGTTACTTCGACCCAACAAATGTAAAATAGCGCCTTATCTTCCCAGGCAGGCCTTTTTTTATATCTAAATATAATCGCATTTTACTCTACTGTGTCTTATTACGTGTCGTCTTCAGTGAAATAACGACTATGTTCTCATTCTGTATTCTAACTGGGAAATGCTATACGGTACCGAGGCGTAACCAGGCCCGAGAAGAATTTCGGGGGCCCATAACTGTAAGGAAAACGGAGAAGGTCAACAGTTTAAGTCAGGTTTTGTACGGCACGAAAGAACTTTATTGGAGAATAATAAGTTACTCGTAATTTTTAGAAGGCGGTGCAGGGTATTTTCCACTCGAAAAGAGAGAAACAATTAGAATGCTAGAAACAAAGGCCGTCTCCACACAATACAATAAAGGCGTTTATAAATGTTTAGTTAACAAAACCGGGATCCTGGTTAGTTTTTATTGGGGAAATTACGACGTATTAACGATACGCACGCGGAATACAAATAAGTATCCGGAGGAATACCTTCGACTTTTTGCACACTTACAATGGGGAGAAAGTCGTTACCCTTAGACCACTTTCTCGTAACTAAGAAAAAAGAAAAATAACGTAAAATTTACTTTGGCGCCGCGGGCTCCGACGGAGAAACGTCCGAAAAATTGTCACCGGAAAAGAGGAGTCGGGCGTTAAAGAAAGAGCCCGGATCTTCCGAACAATTAGTTTTGTTTCGCTCGAATCGTCGATCGGTGGAAAGAAACGGGTCGGAACCGCCGACGGAAGATCTAGTATCGACCGTGGTTTCCGGATTCGCCTTTTAGTTTAATTTAACTTTTCCTCCGGAGGAATTTTCCACCTTCGGAAGAAGAGAGATTATCCTAGGGGTGGGGATCCGAGGGAAAAGTCGAATAGTAAAAGACACAGAAGAGGCGCGCTCTACACGGAAGAAAAAAGACGGAGTATTTTGCCGCCAGAGAAAAGGGTTAACGGTCGAGACGACGGGTCCGTCAGGCCGCCTAACCGGGTTTAACCCCGACGGAGGCCGTCCGAACGGGAGGTGACGAAGACGAGCTTTATATAGACGAGAGAAGGCGCGACGACCCCGACCGTCGGCGCGGCGGTCACGCACCGACGAAGAGCTTTTTCGTTCGGAATCGCTCGGAGAAGTCGTAAAAGTAGCCGAAAGACGAGAGTCGGGCGGGACGACACCCCGGGTGAGTTCCTTTTTTTTTTTTAACGGCCCGACCGCCGACTTCCGTTTCCAGTCCCTGGGAAGAACCGGGGACGGCGGTTTTTGTTTTTCCCCGGACTGTAGGGAAGGCGGGAAAAAATAGATTTCTATTTAAGGAGAGCGGGCGGAGGGACGAGAGCGTCTTCCGCCGCGGCCGGTTACCGGGTCCCGGGCGACCGGTTAACCGGGGGAAGACGATCGGGTCCTCGTCCCACCGATTTCCGTCTCTCCGCCTGAAACCGCGCCACTTCTTCACCTTCCGTTTTCTTTCGGCAGAACCCGAGACCGTCCGAGGCCATGAACCTGTTTCTGCTTCTCTCCGCCGTCTGCACTCTGCCGGTAAGTCAATTCCCTCTTTCGCTCTCTTTTCCTCTTCTCCCTTCGCCCCTCGGACGGGCAATTCCGCCTCGACGTTTTCGCATCCTCCCCAGGAATTCTCTTTCATCCGCGCTTTCGGACAACTTCCGGTTTTCCTGGGAGCCGTTTCCGCCATCCGGAAGGAAGAAGGCGTGGCGGCCGTCGGCAGCGACACCCCTCCGGGCCGAAGAACTTTGCATTTATGTCTTTACGGGAGCCGCGTTATCTCCTTTGGTTTTGAACCGAGTGGCGGCCGGTGGGGAAGAAGGGAAGAACGCGTCGTCCGCGTCGCGCGGAGGAAGCGACCCGCGATGGGGGTCCGATTGACGAAAAAGAGGTGGGAAAATAATTAACCTACCGGGCGCGGGCGGAATCCGGCCGGTGGGAGCTTAACGGGATAAAGAGACAAAGGAAGTTTTACCGCTGTTTTTCATTCCCTTTTCGTCGTTTACCGACGGAAGTGTCCGAAAGACTTCTATCCCGTCCAAACTTCGATTCCACCCGAAATTATTTCTCCTCTGGCCGATCGTCGTCGGGCGAAAATCGGCCGTCGACTTTCGTGGGCCGACCGAGTGGCCCGGTGGCTTGTTTTTATTATTTAACTCGCTTGGCTCTTCCTCCTTTTCGCCGATTTTACCTCCGCTCCGCCCTGCCGGATATTCCGCCACGTGGGACGAATAAACTCGGTCGACGCCTTCTCCCCACCCCCGTCTTCCGTTATTTGTATTACCTTCGGCACCCTTAGGCTCTGGCCCGATACGGATTAATTAAATATTACCCACCGACGAAAACAATACTAAAATAAACTATTTAATTTCTATTCTCTAATATTCTCTACATTTCGAACGTCTAAAGTCCGATTTTGTTTAATGTCGGGAGCGATATAAGATTTAGTCTACCCCCGCCACGTCCCAATATAAATAAATGCACGTATACCTTAATTAATTAATAGATAAAGAAGAAAATAGAATGAAATATCGGCGATCGTTTCTCTTTTTAAACGTTTCTAGAGTGGAATGTCACGCACGATTAAGGCCGAACGTCGAGCGTATAAATTTAGGGCCTCGGATAAAATTTTTCGTATAGCGGAACCTCCGACATTCTTTCACGCAATCTCCGTCTTCCGCCTAAAGTTCGACAAACGTCCCTTTAGAGCGTGGCCACTTATAATTTATCACGTGTTATATTTGGAATTCTTATCAAAAGAATTCCAAATATAATTTATATTGAATATAGTCACAATGCCGGGCTGAAATTTTTAATAGAAAGATTGTATTAGTTGGAGAGGTGTCGATAAAGTTCATAAGAAGATAACGAGAGGTTGTCTTCCTCGGGGCTCGATGTTGGGGCCCTTCTTACGGAATTTATTTTTTGATGGATGTTTGAGGCGCTAAGAAATTTCGGAATATTGTATACAGCGTATGAGGATGATCCGGTGTTGTCGACACTCTGCGATAGCCGCGGGAATCGGAGGACGAGTCGCAATTTTGCCTTAAAGATATTTAGTAAATGGCTAGTCTAATAGGTTGGAATCGTCTATCGAGAAAACTAAGGTTATGTTATCGAAAGGAAGTGATGCAAAGGAGCGACCGCCTATTGTTAAGTTAGACAATAATACCAATAAGAATAACATCGGTTTCTCGTCAAATACAGTACAGTACTTGGTAACAATAAAGAGAAGTATCTCGCCGGTGAGCCTATGGCGGGTACGACAAGGGGAGTGTGGCGGGGCTATCGGTATTAACCCGGTGCGTTCGGGATGTTTCTACGTTTCCAAAGGACACTGAACTAAGGGGGGAAATGATTCGTTGCGATTCATACCGAAGAATTCGTCCCGAACACATGGGTAAGAACTAAGTTTTATACTTAACTGTAGATTACGAAAGTATTCTTGTGATATAAAACTATTAGGTGATATAGCTTAAAATATACATATTAACTTTTATTTCTTATTTTTTTTTGTCCTACAGTTCATTTCTTCGTGTGCGCGGTAACAAGGTGGTTATATTTAAAGGACAATCACATCACAGTCCGTAAGTTTACACGCCGATATACCCTTTATTCTATGTTTCTTTGTACATTTCGGATTTAAAGCTCCTCTTCGGTTGGAGTAATTTCATTTATAATGTAATATAGAGGAAAGAAATTTTTTCTCTACCGTATCATTTACTGCAACCGAAGAGGAGCTTTAAGAGTACGAAATATAGAATAAAGAATATATCGGTGTGTCAACCTACGGCCCGTGGTGTGATTGTCCTTTAAATATAACTACAGTACGTAATTACTGTACATATAAAGAAATAAAATATTATATTATTATGTTAAACTGTATAATCCATATTATGTAATTTTGCGACATCACAAGAATATTTTCCTCCACAAGTATAAAACTTGATTCTTAGCTTGAAAGTTGTTGGGAATGAAATCATTTGCGGTATTCCTTTGTACCTACGTTACAATCGTTTGTGTTTGTTCCCTGAGCTAGAAGCCAGACTGTTTTTTGTTACAAAGTTTCACGCATTATTGACTTTTGACTCATTTTTCATTATACTCTTCTATCTCAAAATAATTTATCGCGCTACAATTTGAGATACGTGTACCTTACTTTACCATAACATCGTACTTTCGCGGTTTGTATTTTGAAATTATTTCGCTTTTGCTTGTTGTTTTCTTACTATTATTTGTTATTTTTTTGTTTTGTGATAAACAAACGGACAAACAGCAGTGAACTAAAGAATAAATGGGGAATTGGAACCGGCCCGGCGCTACGTTGGCTTATAATTCCCAACGACGGCGGCTTTCCATCCCTAAACGCGTGGTTCCCTATAAATTATAAAGAATAACGCAGTCTTTTATTTTTTCAGTCGAAACTTTCCGGCTCTCAAGAATCGAATTCTGCAGAAAACTCTAAACTGATAGACCTTCGAGCCGTCTGCTACCGAGATCGCATGAGGGTCTACCTGGAATTCGACACTCCTTTCCACGGCATCGTCTTCTCCGAAGGGAATTACGGCCATCCCGAATGCACCTACGTCGCTCCCCTCTCGGGGGTGACCCATGCCAACTTCGACGTATTCTATCGCGCCTGCGGTACGCGGCGGAATCCGGTGGCCAAATACTACGAGAATACCATCGTGGTACAATACGGAGCCGACGTCATCCAGGAGAGGGACGAAGCCAAGCGCGTCCGATGCCGGTGGTCCGACGACTATCGACGACCAGCATCCCGGCCCGCCCTGAAAATAGCCGAAGCCGAGGCCATCCCTATGGAGTTTTCGGGAGACCAAGTGGACTGTTGGATGGAGATTCAGAAAGGGAGAGGCCCCTGGGCACCTCCGGTCTCGGGCATCGTTCCGGTGGGAAGTCCCCTAACCTTGGTGGTGGCCGTGGCCGACCGAGAACACTTCGACTTGAGGGTCAGATCCTGTCGGGCTCACGACGGACGCAAACCGCCCATACTACTGACGGACGACGACGGATGCGTTCTTCGTCCCAAGATGTTGACCCCCTTCCTCAAGGTCCGCGATTACGCCGGAAGAGCCTCCGTCCTGTCCTACTCCTACTTTTACGCCTTCAAATTTCCCGACAGCGTCGACGTTCACGTGCGGTGCAACGTGCAGATATGTCGCCACGTCTGTCCCGAAAGTTGCTCCCGCGATTCGGGCGCCGGCTTTCCCGGACCCTCCGTAACGCCCGACCACCGACAGAAATCTGCATATTCGAAAATCGTCACGGTCCTTAACGAAAATCGGATCGAACCGGATCCTCTTCCCGACCGATCGACGTCTTGGGACCACAGGGCGCAGGAAATCCCAGAAACTTCCTCGCCGTCGGAGAAGGGAGAAGTTCTGCACGAGGATTCCCCGCGTCCCGTTTACGTCCACAGAAAAAAACCGGAGGAGGCGGCGGACGAAAGTCCGCGGCCGTCCTGGGAGGTTCCAGCCCCTCGTTCTCGAGAGACTCCGTCATCCCTGCATCCGACTGAGGATCCGGAACCTCCGACGGGACCTTTTCTTCTGCCGGATCACGCCGAAGATGCCGACGACCCAGTCTACATCTCGGCACCCGATCTGTCTTATTTATATTCTTTGCTGAGGTCCAAGAAAGAGGGCGCTTGGGGCGACTTCCGGCGGCATCGCTATCCCTATCCCGTGCCCCAATTCGTCCACGGCCATCCCCGGTACGGGACGACCGGAATCCGGGAGGAAGGGGGAGCAGAGCCACCGGGAAGCCCCCAGTCTCCCAGGCGTCGTCGGAGGGCCGACCAATTAGGAGTGGGTCGAACGTATCGGGTAATTTCTTCGGCCGACTTGGACTTCGAATCGGATCCAGAGGAAGAGGGGAAAGCGTGGCGGGAGGACCCGATTCCCCATCGGGTTTCCGGGGTGTGTCTGAGTGCCACTGGCTTCTCCGCCTGCTTCGGCTCGCTGGCCGCTCTAGTGGTGGGTTCGGCCACCGCTTGTCTCTTCCTGCGCCTCAGACTGGAGGCGGCCAGAAGGGCTCCGTCCCCCGGGAAACCCCGATGACTCGTTTCCTCTCTTCTTTCTTGCGGGTGGATGGTCTATGGTCCGGCAGTTTCCAATACGTTTGACTAATACTTCAGTCCCTCCGGTGGTGGCCCCGCATCCACGGCGAAATAAAAGGCCCATTTTCGCCTAACCCAAACGGTTTTGGTTACCGCGTTTACGCATCCGGTTAAAAATAACAAAGGCACTTTTATTTTTAACAAAAAGGCCGGTCGGGTCATTCGGCTTCCGGTCGAAAGAAACAAACGGCGGGCGACCGGACCGATTTATAATTGTAAAGAAAGCATTGTGGGAAAAACAATATAAACTAGAAGCGATAAGACAAAATGTAGTCCATCGACCGTTATTTCGTTAGCTACACAAAAACACACATTTAGTCTCTGTAAATTAATTAATAACGCGTAATTGGAGAGTAAGATTCTCAAATTCGGTGGCAACGGAGAGGGAAACGAATATCGCACGACAGCCATTTCTCTGGCCAGAAATATCGGCTTCCGGTGGGAGCCACGAATTCGTACAAACACAAAACGGGCAAATTGACAGTAGTTACGAAAAGGGTATCTTCTCATAACGATTTTTTAAAATCCTTTCCTCCCCGCGGGCACTAAGATCTGTTTTTTAACCAGCCCGTTACGAGTGCGGCCACCCCATAGTGGATCCGGCCGAACCGTAATGACGAGGAACGAGACCCAATATATCCCGACGAACCACCCACCGAAAATTCCCGAGATTTTTGGATTCGATCCCGGGTCCCCCAGAGCGATCGGCTACCATCTTGACCTCTGGGTCATCCGGCTGACACAGTTTGAATACTGGATGACACCTGAGGTAAACCAATCGATCGATCTATCGCTCTAAAACACCCGGCTTCGAGTCCAGTCGAGAATTATTTTAGGTGGTCGGTCCCGTGTAGTCCTTTCTTCCCGTCACCTCCATTATGGACCTAGTCGAACCTACGATTAACAAAAGCCTGAACTAGTGATGTATTCATCACTAGTATTTCCATTTAAGCAATACACCAATGTTTTCTCTCCTAACTTTATTTACAATAGAGACATACGTGACAGACGTGTCCAAAACAGAATTTTTGAGTGATCACTCATATAAAAACACTATAAAGAAAAAAATCATAGGACTATTTACCGACTCTGTTTTGTTTTAATTATAAAACCCATCCCTACCCTCGAAATTAAGCTTATTGCCATTTTATAATAGTTAACAATACAAAAAGATTTTAATAAAATATTATAACAGATGGCGCCATCGAATGTTGCCGGAAAAGTTACCCAACTCGTTGCTGGATTTTTTCGTTGATGTTAGAACCGTGTTTATTAAAAGGCCGGCGGGTCTCATTTTAATGTAATTTTATTTTTCTACAGTCGACGTGTGTTCGGACCAGAATTCATAATGAAATCAGCAAAATACGATTTGAAAAACACAGAATTCAGTAGTGAAAACATCGCATAAAAAATTGATCCCTTTAAGAATTATTATGTTTAATATTATGATCTCTTTGTGAAGTTAATAAAGAAGCGAACGTTATAAACAATTACCAAATAGGTATTATATCTCTATTACTTTCTCGGCTGTTGTGTATACGTAACAGGAAAAGTATTGGAATCGTGTCAAATTTCACCCTCCGAGTTTTTTGTGAAAGGATGCCATTTATTTCGTTTGATATCATCGCATTGGCCGGATGGCCCAGAGGTCGAAGTGTCGACCTACTGCGAAGTTTGCCCACTGACTGCGTTAGTCAGGATTGTCGCGCGGTCACGACCAACGTGTGGGAGTGGAAAAAACTCTCAGAGACCGGTTCCTCGTCGTCAATCCGTTTAATAAAAATAAGAATTTCTTACAAAATTTACTTGAACAAAGGGGTATCACCGCACAAAGAACGAGGATTAAGTTCGAATGTTCGGGATTTCTTTTTCTTCCTTTCGGCGGAGACAGCGAAACAATCGTAGGCCCCGGGGCGCTGGGCACGACTTTGGGCGATTCTTCTCCTACAAACTTGGGTGGCCCAGGGCGACACAGCAGAGGAGATTCGTATCCACGATATCCGAAATTTCCTTCCTATTTCTACAGAAGCGCACACGTCCAAGATGGGAGGACTACTAATCTAGAACCGAGTGTGTCCCGTCTTTGACTCGCGCGGTTTTTATAAGTTCCTTTTTTGGGTCCCGGATCGAACATTCCGATAGGTCGATGACGGCTTGCCCTCGCTTTTCAATTGGTTTTCACTCGTTACGAAACGTAACAAGATCAGAACACAGATCGCGAGACAGTCAACACCGACTGACAATTCGATCTCTATAGAAGTTGTTCGATCTTAGGACTTATATTCATCTATTGTTTTAACAAGTGAAGTTCGTCTTTCAGGAAAGTTATACAAACATGTCCTTTTATAGACATAAAATATTCATTTTTCGTTTTTTTCCTCGTTTCACGGTTTCTTTTTACAACATTAAATGATTATTATTTTCTTCTATACATAATTAAAAATTTTAAGCCCCACACTGCTATTCTGGGGGGGACACGGGTTCAAATCCCAACTGGGTCGAAAAATCCCCAGAAATTTTTCGGGGGTTAATCCGATCGGATATGTTCCTCACAATCCGGCCACCCCATTGTGGGCCTGGCCGATCCCATAATGGGTTCGCTAATAGAGGTACTCTTAGTGCTCACGGGGTGGAAAAAATTTTAAAAATATCATCACTATTTCTTTAATAACCAGATGTCGCGCAGGTCGAAAAATTGGGAGGGTTGCGAACGGGACACAATCGCAATGGTTTAAGGCGGTGAATCCATCTTTGTGCTATTGGAGAAAGGATAAGATGTAAATGAATAAAGTCTCGGTGGTTATCACATTCCGGTTCGGATGGCGGCACACACGAAGTATTCGTGTCGGAATTGACGCCCTCAGTTTTCTTACGGTCTCTATACAATCTGCATCGTTCGGTATTAGTCATTTTTGGCTTTTCTCATTCCTTTTCAATTTTTCTTTCCAATGATATACGTTTCTTACATTCCTGTTCGTATTTCCTTTGCAATTTCTTCGACATTACGAAAAGTTTCTTATACTCGCGCACTTATCGACTATAACTTTACAAATTCTATTTTATAGGTTATTATTGCTAAATATTAGCGAGGTTGCGGCCGAAGTTTTCAACGCGAAAACGTGTACGTCGGACGTTCGGCGCCGCCTTCTTGTAAGCCTAGAAGTTCGACAATGGCGTTTGGAACTTCGAGCAAGATTCCACTGACGCCATTGTCAAACTTCTAGGTTTACAGGAAGGCGGCGCCGAACGTCCTACGTACACGTTTTTGCGTTGAAAACTTCGGCCGCAACCTCGCTATTAATAATACAGGTATACCTCGACTTACGTCGTTTCGAGTTACGTCGTTCCCGATTATACGTCGTTTGTCAAAAAAGTATATGGAAAAATAAAAATCAAGTTTGTCATTTTATTCGACTTTACGTCCGTCCGCCACAAATATTGAAGTCGTAATATCACTAGAAAAGCGTTTAAAGCACATAAAATCATATTAAAATATATACATTTACAAGTATGTACTGCATTTACAGTACAGTACATGCATTCGTAAATTTAGATTACTTTTTTCTGTACTCTATTAAAAACTAAAATTTATTTGTTTGTAAGCTTAAAATAGATTCTTATTAACCACATATTTTTAAAAATGCATTAATAAATAAAATACAGAACTGGGAATAGTAATTTATGGTTTTTCCTAGTGACAAGTAGATTCGGAGACAAGTAAATTCGACTTAAGTCGTTTTCCTGGAACCAATTACCGACGTAAGGCGAGGTATACCTGTATTGTAGACCCTGTCGTTCTGTATAAATTGACGCCAATTTCGACGTCCTATCTCTTCGCTAAAAATCTTATTCTCCGAGTTTCCAGATCTGTGCGTGTAAAGCGAACGTCCAGTTTGAGTATAATTTACAGCAGCCTGGGAAGGTGCTTTTTCTCGCTTTATCAAGATGGCTGCGCAGGTGGATGGACACGTGACGATTGATAATTCTTCATTATAATATTAGTTTTCAATCTATTAAATAATAAGAAATAAATTCCTAAAAATTTAAACGCTTGTTCGATGACTCTTGCTGAGCTTAGTTTATAACATCAAGTTTTTTTACGTTGGCAAACAAGATGGAGACCAGAAGTGCCGCCATTGGAACTACCCAGGTAAACTTCTAGACTGTGTACACATTAGGCGTTTTGCGTTGCATTAAACGCGCGTTAGCAGCGTACACACCGCGCGTTAGCTCGGCGTTCGACGACCGTTTAGTGGAGCGGGAGCACTGGCTCAGTTTGGAAATGGACGTGAAAGTAATTGCTTGTATGTGCCTCCTCCATTGTCGCTATAAAAGACGATGGCAGAGGCAAAGAGAATTTTGGGTGCACCCAANACGCGCGTTAGCAGCGTACACACCGCGCGTTAGCTCGGCGTTCGACGACCGTTTAGTGGAGCGGGAGCACTGGCTCAGTTTGGAAATGGACGTGAAAGTAATTGCTTGTATGTGCCTCCTCCATTGTCGCTATAAAAGACGATGGCAGAGGCAAAGAGAATTTTGGGTGCACCCAATATTACGAGATAGACTGACGCATGGAATGTTTGTGACGCTGTATGCAAAACTAAGACAATATGAAGCTAAATTTTTTAATTCTTTTAAAATATCTATAAAATCATTTGAGGATGACTGGTCTCTTTTAGATTTCATCAATAAATAGATCAGTATCGAAATGATCGTTCTCCATTTCGGCCAACGTACGTCCATTCTACCCGAAAGCGCGCGATCGAATGTACAGTACAACAACATGGCAGCACATATATCTCAAAGCGCATTTGAGTATGTATACCTATGTATACTCCTGGTTCTTTAAAATGCGCGTTTAAAAATGCCTAATGTGTACACAGCCCTACAGCTTAACACTTTAATATTAACTCTACCGTATATTTATTACAAGCAGAGACTAAAAAAACAAATGTTATTGCTTACCTGAAATGTTTCTGACAAACTCTTGTATTGATATTCACTTTATGCATATTGAAATTTTTCCGGTTAATTCTCCAGAGCCATGCAAATTGCCTTCGTGGTGAAAGCTCCTCAGTTTGGGTCCTCGATGACAAATAATGCAGGGAATCTTAAAAGAAAACGTTCCTTTGTTCACGAGTGAATTAGCATTACACCCAATTACACAATTCACCATAGTGATATTCACAACGCAAGAAATCCAGCTAAAGCGTGCGTAAACACAAATAAAACCTAAACAAACCACAAAGATGGCACTGGACAATTGCTCGTGATCATGACGTCATTCGTGATGTCGACTTAAAACTTCTCTTCTTATTTTTTTCATCTCAGTTTAGCGGATATTTTAACAATGATGTTTTTATTACCATTTATAAGTTTTATATACTTTTCAATTCGGCAGTTAAACACATTCCTTTGCTATTAACTATAAGCTTGACTTCGCCACTTGACTTCGGCATCTGTAATTTTTTTTTTATCTGACCCTACATTCGGATTAATTTGATCGCCATCCAGTCGATCCTAGGTGACATTTGTTTACACGGATAGAGATTGATCAGATCGCTACAGTTCGTTTGTATACAAGATTTGAACGATCAGAGGAATCTTGGGTCAGTTTGATTCCAAAAGTACAGGGTAGTTATAAATTATAATTAAAGTTGCCCTACTCAGACCTGTCTAGAGCCCGTTCTGACGGTCGTATTTTGATGAAACTTGGTATATATGTTTTAGGGACCACAGGAAAAAGGAAAATGCAAAAAATATTTAGTTCAAATTTTTATCACTAGGTGAAAAAATGGCGCATGAAAAACAAGAAACACATAATGGAAACACGCAAAAGGCTTTTATTCACAACATTTGTTCAATGTGCAATCCATTTGCATCAATTACATGTTCAGAACGTCTTACAATGCTGTAAGGCGTTCTGTAAATGTAACGTGTTTCTTGTTCATCATGCGCCATTTTTCACCTAGTGGTAAAAATTCGAACTAATTTTTTTTTTGCATTTTCCTTTTCCCCGTGGTCCATTTAACATATATACCAAGTTTCATCAAAATACGTCCACGAGAACGAGCTGTAGACAGGTCTGAGTAAGGCAACTTTAATTATAACCACCCCGAACTTGCACCCCTGAACGTAACGTGTTATCGTAGGTTTCCGGTAGATCCTTGCCCAAACGAACACACACCCTGCTCGATAAACGCCGTATTTCACTAATCGCCGAGCATTCCACACCTCGTTCATAATACCCGTACATACAGCAGTGACCACTCGACCCGGCTGGACGAGACCACTTACTTCCCCACGCAGTCTTAATATAATGTAACAATCACCGCGTGATACGTACAGTACGTACCAGTGGCGCACTCGGGGTTTAATCTTGGGGAGGCGAGTTGAATGGAAAAAATCTTTAATGCCAATTCAATAAAATTCCCACCTTATAAGGCCTCTAATTCATTAGTAGTACTGTATAGAAATAGATGATGGGTCCCCCTCCGGGTGGGCCATCGTATGATACGTACAGTATGTTGGCGTACGAACCAAGTTTTCGAAACTTTTAGATCCTAGCCGGCAGGCGGTGTGAGCGAAAATTTCGCGATATAAATGACACACAATAAAAGTTCTTAAACTGCAACTTTAATCGGTTCACAATACCCTAGAGGGCCTTTTTTTCACTCGAAAAGTAGCACAACCACATTTAAAAACATTTTCTTTTGATACAAATGATGCCCTTATTATATAAAGGATTCGACAAGAAAAAATAAAAACACAATTTGATTAATTCACGTAACAATTTCGAATACTGCATCGTAATATTTATTATTAATACGAGAATGGAACGAAAAAACGAAATAATTGGCAGTGATTGGCAAAAACTTTTTATTAACACCGACGGGGAACGACGAGCCGAATGGCGTCGTCCGTCTCATTCTCGTCGTTGGGCAAGAAAACGTTTCCGTTTAAAATATAACCTTTTTATAGAAGCCACAACATTTCGAACGTTTTTTCTACATCGTGCTAAACATTTAAGAATATTAAAAACAGTTTTTTACTAAGGCTTGCCCAGTGCTCCGTTTGTGCATAATAAATTTTCCACACCGACGATCCAACGATGCATTTTAACATTATTTTTTTTTTAATTATTATTATTTGTTTTTAATTAAAACTACCGGCAAACATTGGCGCCGTCGGTCGAATCTACGTCTACGTTTTACCATAACCAATATCGTACAACATAAATTTAATCACACGAGTACCAATATCAAAGCCGTTTTTATTAAAATACAATATGAGAAAAACGAGGCCCACACGCACTTCACCTTTCCACGTGTATTATTTAAAGGGTGCTTGCCGTAACTGGTAAAAATAAATAGGTACGTTATAACTGTAAATATGAACACAACGGAGTTTCGTCACGTCCGAGAACCTAAAATTGGCAGTGTAATTTCTTCCGTTCGGATGGCAAAGGACGACGACGACTCGTCCGGGATGATTAAATATTGCGGTCCTTAGTCAACCAACGGCTAATCATAGTACAAATGAATGAATTATCGTTTCTTGTCTTGTCATTATATATATATATATGTATATATATGTATATGTATATAATATATCTTTGATCACAAAAGTTAGTATTCTTTATATGTTTAACAATACAATGTTTAAACAATAACAGAAATGGCAGTGTTTATTATATCAATGATCAAGACAAGAAGTCGGTGAAAAAGAGTAGGTTAGGGGGTTTTCGTAAAGCTAAATATATCTAACACTAATTTAAACAATGTATTTTGTACTTTTAGTCACGGGTTTAGTAACAAAATTCTACTCTCGGAACGAACAACGAAGAAAAAGTGCCAAGGAACGTCGTACTAACCTCAATTAATAAACGTATCGGCAGTTGACAAAATATCCCAAAAAATAAAAAAATAAAAGACCGCATCCGACTTGTTCCTAAGTACGAACGAAACGAATGACGTAAGCAACGTACGAACATCGTCCGAAGTATTTCTAAAAATCTACGGAAATTTTTCGGATAAAGGCGATTATTAAAACGGATAAAATTTTTTTTATGTAAATAGATTATTACTTTGTAAATAACTGCAAAAATCTTCGTGGGTAACGAACGACGGGATTAAACGTAATAAATTAAAATAAACACCACAGGAAACGTAATAATTAGTAAGGGGGGGGGCGACTGGCCGTGGCCCGTCTCGACTTATAAATTGCCATTTTATATATATTACGAAGCGCTTTAAAAATTGACGACGTATTTCGGAGAGACCGGAAATAAGAATAAAAGTTTTTTTTTTTAACATTTATCTCACTAATATTCGATAAAGATTTGCAATAACATTAAATAGTAAAGAAAATACTCTAGGTAAATAAATAACTGTAAATGAATATTTTAAATGCAATAAACAGCTTATTGACGCAATTATCGTATTGTTATCTGACGTGGTTTTTTATATATTATACGGTAACAAATTTGTTGGCAGTGAAAATTTTCTCCTTTTCTTTCCGTGCCGACGCCAAACCCCATCCCCGGCTAAATCCAAAATGGGCAACGGGAAAGGCCATTTCCACCGATGGCGGGTTAATTAAATCGGAGGAAGAGAGCGTTTTTCGTCCGTAATAACCGGGGAAGGGGGCGAGGAGGCCGCGTCCTCCCCGCTCGGGGGGACAGATGTGCGCGGCGTCGAAGACCCCGGGCAACGAGCGCGGAGCGTGATCGGAAGGGAAAGGATGGTTGTGATCACAGTAGCCGGCCGCGTCAGACGCGACCGTTCGCCTCCTCTTCTCGAGACGTCGCCCCCGCCGACGCCGGAACCGGAACCGGAGACGAGACCGTCTTGAAGAAATTCCTGAGAGGTGTGAAAAGATGTCTTATGACGGGCACGCTCCAAGCTTTACCCAGCAGCTGCTGTCTTCGTCCCAGAGGGATGTTGCCCACGTCCGTATAGTGGCGAGGGAATCCGAACACCCTGTCCGACAACAAAACTCTTTCGGTTAACCGTTTCCTAATTTTTCTATTTTACATTGTCGTTACTTACTGTTCTAATTCTGTAACCCAGAGTACATCTCCTTCACCATTCATTGTCACTGGCAAAATACATTTCTTCCCTTGTTTTAATGAATTACTGCGTGTTGTCACGGTTCTAATTTTTTCTACCTGGGGGAAAAAAGGGTCTGTTTTATAATATATTAAAACATTTCTTTATTTTATCCAATACCTCCATTTTAACAAGATAAATCATTTAAACATATTCGAAAATAAAAAGATTGAGTTTATTTTATTATAAACATCAAATAGTATTACCATGGCTTTTCTATTAAGACAAGGAGTTAAAACACTGTCCAGTGTAATGTCTTGTTCAACCAAGTGTGGCTGCAAGGGACTAGAAAAAAAAAAGAAAAGAAACTTAATAACAGTGATGAATAAATAATTCCATAATTAAAATTTTTTTAATAGAAATTTTAAAATATTCAAAAATAATACATAAGGGTGCAATCATCACCCAACATTAATGGAGAGTAACTTACTTTGAAATATCTTCTCCTTTTGAGTATTCCTTACCTCTGCATGAGAGTCAGTGAATAAATACTATTTTTTTAAATTATTTTATTTTTAGTTGGAATAAATTTCTATCAGTCGAATTAGTGTTAAACTAATTTCTTAAATTTATGACGAGAATTAATTTGATAATCATTGTTAAGAGATTTCTTTCAGGATATTTTCATTTCACTGTTAATTGTAATTTCGAAATTTTCAAAATAAAATTTTTCTATTCAAAAATTTGGAATTCTATGCAGTGATTGTAATGTTTTTTTCAGTGTAATAACAACATCCTGACTAATTTATAATTTCTTATTGATTTTAAATATACTGTACCTATATTTTTAAAATATATATGCTTACTTACGTGTATAATCCTGGAATATTACCCCAAAAATAACGTGCTCTATTTTGAGGAGAAAAATATTTGGAATCAAGCATAGCTGGTTCACACTAAAAAAAAAAAATATATATATAATTCATAATTTTTTTCATTACTCTCATATATATTTTAAATATAGATATATTGTATATTTACTACAAAATATATCTATATTGAAAATTATATAGAAGTAATGTAAAAGTTTTTTGGCGTGCGGATTAAATTTAATCTCCGATCACAACTCCAGAGTTGACAGTTTTTCGAGCCTAGGAATTTGATGAGAAGAGTAAACTATTCATTGTCCAATTGTTTTGTCTACTAGAACTATTTTCTTTGTTCTCTACACTTGCCTTGAGTTTAGTTTATCTTTCTGTATAATATATAACACCCATACGGGGTATAACTGAACTCAGTGCAAATATTTTAGGGATAGGTTCTAGAGTTAAAATTACCTTAAAATTCTATAAAGATTTCTCAAAATTTACTTTGTATGACTTATGGTTTGCCCAAAAAAGATAATTTTCAAATTCCATGTAAATATACTGTATTAACAATAGAGTTGTAAACTTTTTAAAGTAATTTTATATATTTTTTAATACTTCTGACAACTGATTGAGGTAAGTAAATGTTGCCTAACTGGCCCTAATGTAATAAATGTAAACAAAGCCGTAGCCACTTTAAGATTGTTTTAATTATCTACTGTATCTGTTTTGGAGTAAAAACACAGTTGAAAAGCAAAAATTTTTCAATGTAAATTTACTTTGAATAACATTTCATTTTTACTAAATGAAACAGAATAATTTACAATAATTTATCAAAATGTCCTGTGTGGATGTGGATGCATAATTGCATACAACAAACCAGTAACACAAGCGCACAGGCTAACATGTATTCAGAAAAATAATTTTTAACATTTAAAATGAAAAGCTTTAGTGTGTACTTGTTGGTAAAACAGGAGTGAAAACAAGCAGTGATATCTTTTTGGTAAGAATTTTAAAATTGGTTTCTGTTATATTTTGACAGCCCATTTTCGACTCTATAATCTATCCCTAAAATATTAGCACCGAGTTCAATTACATCCTGCATATATTTTTTTTCTTCCTACATTTGTTATGCAATAATGATTTAATAGAGTCGAAAACTGAATTATTTGAGTAAAATATTAGAGTGATTTTCACTGAAACAATTGTTTGATTTGAAAGCATTAAAATGTTCTTCTCGTGTAATTTAAAGTTTTTAACTCCATTAAAGCACTTTAAGATTTATTTTCTCCAGAGTGGCATTTTTAGTTTCTTCTAATACAAATGTTGTTTGATATTTTTGGTTATATAAAATTATCAGATATACTAAACCTGTAGAAAACGTGTAATAGTGGATTTATATTCTTGAGGCATTGATGCTACGTTTTCATATAACCAGAATACATGTCTTCCTTTGTTTGCTAATTGCACAGCTTTCAAAACTCGGAAAAAATCAAAAAACAATTTTCCGGTTCCTGTTGGATCTGAAAAAAAAACACTAAAATTAATTTATTTTATATATTCATATAGCAATAAATTATATACATTATAATAAATTTACCGTATAATCCCTTTCTTGCAGGATTTACTAAAGAAAGATCATTACATGGTGAACCTCCGATAACTAAATCAATTGGGCAAAGTTTAGCAACCTATATACAAAAAATTCACTTATTTATCTAAAATAAATAATAAATACATATGTAATATATTAATGTATGAAAATGTTTTATATATATATTATAATTAAAGATATATTTTTGATATTCTGATTGATATTCAGTAGTTTTAATTGGTTTGTNGGTTATACCGTACGAATACAAGTCCCTGATGTCGACCGTGGCCGTACAGATGCCCGAAATGCGTTGGCGGTTCTTGTTGGAATAGAAGACTCCGACTTTTATAAATTAGCTAACAAAAATGGTACCCTCAAGCAGTTTTATACCCGTAATCAGTTTGTAATTTGTAAAGAAAAGTTACTTTCCATAGATGACATTTCTTCTCAAGAAATTTCGCTGAGAGAAGCAGCTGCAGCTAATTCGAAAAGTGGAGGGCAAGGCTATACACGCTGTCATTGCAAAAAGAAGTGTTCCACGAATAAATGCAGTTGTAAAAGCAAGGGACTCTTTTGCAATTAAATTCAAAATGTCACAACAGTTTAAGTTGTTGCAATAAATAAGATTTGTATAATGTTAATCACATAATTTATGTGCAAGTTTATTATCGTATTATTTTCTTTTCCGATTAAGAATGTACTGTTCGTTTTAGGTTCAACAGTTTATTTACACGTACTGTTACTTAAGCTTTCTCCTATTTTGACATATTAAAAAGTTGCATTTTTGTCTTAACGTAATAAAAATATTTTTATTCAACATTCACCATCAGTGAGTGCATGCTGAATGTCGACATTTGCCGGTGTAAGTGAGAAACAATGATATTTAGCAAATATTTCGTACCTACATGAAACGACTGTGTGAATGCTGACATTCACCGGAGAATGTTGACATTCGTCTGATATCGGTCATTCACAGTAACAAATACACTTCATAATTCATTCTTGTCTAAAAAAGACAGACTTATAAATGGTTTTAGCACAATTTGTTTGCTGTTAAATAAAAAAGTCTCAACATTAGCATGGAATATTACACAACAATTATACTATAAACAACTGGAATGAATTTGTAGATTTTTGTCATCATCTATCTTCACAAAAGTAGGTGATGAGATGCTACAAAACATTGCTAGTGAGCAAAGATGAATGTGAAAGAGTGTTTCATAAAACAAATTTAATCCTCACATAGATTTTAAATAACAGATTTTTCAATTAACATATGCATGTTCATTGTGTGGCTGCTTGCCTTATTATTTAAAATTTACGTGTTTTGATTATTTTAATTCTCAACATCTTTCCTTTGTTATTGTCTTCCCTTTCTAATCCCTCTTTTGTCAATGTGGAGGGTCTGTTCTGAGAAACATTGGTAACAATAGAGAGAACAATAATAGGCCCAAAGGGGAAAGAGAAACTGGTCACTCTTAAGTTGATTTCGGAGAGGATGCATGGAAGTCCTCATAGTCTGAGAAGGTAATAATGGAAGAGCAAAACAGGTTAAGCTTCAGCGAGTACAGTATGGCTTGACAGGACATAAATTTTATTAGTGCTCCTTTCCAAACACGAGACTTTCAATCAACACAAAGTTGGATAAGCAACAGAATTATATTTGTGATGAAAAATGGAAAATCATAAAGCCAGAAGAATTCATTGTGGACTCCATCTCGCAAGTGAAGAACAGTATCCCCAGACAAAATCCCAGGTATTTTCATTATTGATCTTTCTATCTCTATCCTAATTTCTGTATCCTACTTTTCTCTTATTTAGATTGTAAGGTAGTTTTAAGGTAATATTAATTTTGGGTTATTTCTGTTATGCTCGAGATGTTTTTCTTTTGTTTGGTCTGTAACTGCATGCACTCCCAATATGGGGAAAATTCACTGGTATCCAACCTTAGTTGGGATCCCGACAAACGATCCTGCAACACTTGTTCTGTATAAATAAAGTTGTATTAACTGTATCTGTTCACCAATTGTGTCGTGGTATTAAATTTTGTATATTGCTTTTGTCAGCATTGTGTCAATACTCAATCTTCACAATTGCATGAAATGGGCCAGAATATAAAAAAATGGAATGTAATACCATACGTCAACATATTGCTAGAATCAAACAATATATTGGAAACTAAGCGGAAATTTGGCAGCTTTGGCCCATTAAAAAAATGTGACTATATATAAAAACATTTCAGCTTTATTTTTAAAATAATTTTCTGGTTTGGTAAACCATGTTTTACTGATATTTAAATTTAAAAAATTATATATGCCTCAACCATTTTTCATTTTAAATTAATTTTATCACAAGCGCCAAAAAAGTTGGACTTTCTTTGTTTTGAAAGCGAGATTCCAATACTGCATTGACAAAGTTCACTTGATAATGTTATCTGTGGAGAACAATATTTTTTATTGCAAGTTAAAATAGATCAATTTTATCAATTTTTGCAAGCTCAGATTCAAAGACCGACAAAATTGGGGTGTAGCTAGGATTAGGTTACTGCAACTACAAGAACTTAAAGTTTATATAGTAGAAGCAAGATGAAGATATATGCAAATCATTGAAAGCAATATAGTCTTTATGAGAAATGTTGTGATTAAAAAGTTTTATAGTTAAAAATTGCGTAATTTTTGGTAAAAATCTTGTATTTTTTCCTGTCAGTTTTGATAGATTACAGCTTATAGTTCTATAATAATGGACTTAGCACAGATGAGCAAAAACTTAGAACAAATCATTTTCAAAAATTCAATATCATAATTGATTTTAATTAAAACTTTAAAAATTAAATAAATGTTCATACCTATTGCATTCATTATTATCACAGATGAGAAGCTCTCCAGCTTGACCACAAATCACACAATATGCCTGAAAGATCATTACTTTTCCATTATATTATTATTGCTAATTTAAAAATTGAAAAAAAATGATCAAATCATATAAATTATAAATAAATTTCATTTAACATACATTTGTGCCATCGTCTCCATAAGCAAACATTGTTTCTACAATATCATACTTGCATTGTTTACAAAGACCACCATGAATAAGTGGATGTTGTTCTACAATTTCCACTGAAGAAGAATCACAAGCAATACAAACATCTATAAAAGTAAATATAACAATAACTAGTTAAATTAAATTACATAAAAGGGTACATTTTCAACAACTTGTTTAATTTTTATCTTAAATATAATTTATCTAGTTGGAATTTAAAAATTATCAATCTTGTAATTGTTCAGAAACATTTGTTTTAATAGAACATAAACTTAAAAACTTAGGAAATTAAACAAACTTAAATACTTTTGAAATCTTATCCATCTTCAGGTAATTTTTAGAATGTAGAATTAGGATTCACAGCAATTTGTCATTGTAAATTTCCATGAATTTTCCATGTTATCATCAAAAATTTCTAGTACCCTAATATTATTAGACTTAAAGCTTATTCTGTACTTATGGCAAAATTATTAAGTTTATAACATAGCAATAATACAAAATTCTTTTAACTGTCATTTACAAAAGTAAATTGCCACTTTATGTCAATCAATATGAATGTGAAGTCATGGAGTCAAATTTGATGTAATGCAAAACCCAGACTATATCAATGAAATATCAACATTAACTTAGAAATATACTTTGAGTAACTTTAGATTCAATCCATATTTCCAAGTCACTTACAATCTGGTCATGCTCTGTTCTTGATCCAGTAAAATATTTATTAATTGTGTACAATATATGTATTTACATTATGAGTAACATTCAAGTCTCAATCTGATAATTGGACACCATTGATAAATATTTAATATTCAATAAAGACCTTTTTATGAGCTCCAGGAGCCACTAAAACATCCACGCAACCTGTACAATAACACCTATAAAAAATATATCTATTATATAAGAGTAAATAGTACAATAAAAATTTATTATGCATATGTTAAGAGAAAACCAATTCACAAAATAGCAAGAATATTTTCTTTTGTGGAAATAAAAAAATTTAACTTCGTAATCCATATTCATTACTCACCAAAAAAATTAAGTTAAACAAAATAGTTATATTTCATTAACTCATCAACTTTTTATGATACAATATTATGTATCAAATTCCACTTTATTTTTTATAGAATATTACATGTTCACAATTATTACTAATTTATTAATTTCTATTACTGAAGCTTGCTATCCATTTAAAGAAACTAAACATCCAGTACAAATTAAATGCTCTGAAATAGAACATATTTTTAAATGAAAATGTTTTTGATAGTCAACATAGATTTAGAAAAATATGTTTGAAAATAAGGATTCACAGAGAAGTAATCTATTTACAAATATAAAACATGTCTGTTTTCATTAGGAACATTGATTGTTGAAGAGAGATAATAGATAATCAAGTTTATAAAGATGTGATGTGCATATCCAGATGCATATATATATATATATATATAGGATATTGCATAACGATTTAACTCGGTATTTTCTGATGTCATGTATTGCATAAGAAATTTTTACTTATCACTTGAAAATTTCAAATTTAGAATTTTTTAATTCTCTTTAAATGGGGAGTTAATCTTTCAAAAAACTCTTGTACATAGCCTTGATCTAAATAACTGACTTTCTTGAATGTAACTGAACTGAAACTCAAAAATTATTATAAAAAATTATATCTTGAATACAAGGTTAGAATTACAGGGGGTTTAAGGGAGTGTTAAACTCTCCTTGTTCAACATGTTGTGGCAGTATGCCATATTTTATGTATAGTAATAGTTTTATATCGTATTTTATTTATAATCTTTCACTATCCCTTTGTTGTATATCTTTTGTTTTCTGTATTCTGAGAATTCTTGTACCCAACTCTTCTCAACCAGGGTATGGAGAGAAGACAATAGAGAGTGGGAAGCCCTGAGGATAAAAACTCATTCTAGAGAACCACTATTTGGCTGGAGATCAGAAAGACAAGAGGTGTATAAGGAAGGTCCTGGTTGTCGTTTCAGCATCGACAAGAGCATGAGAGTGTGATACCAGAGGAAAAGTTTTTTGTCCATAAATGTTATAGGAATACTTCTCGGAGAACATCCCTCATCACAAACACTTAGTGATTCAGAGCAGCAGATGTTAGAATCAGATCCAAACCAATACATTGAAAGATTAGTTAAGATTTTGAGTACCCCTATCCTACAAATTCTTCTTTCCTTTCTTCTTCTATCTATATGCATATTTCCTTAATTTAGTTATAAGTAGGTTAAGATACTAGGCTAAGAACGCAGTCCGTGATTGTAAAGTCTCCATACTATCACATTTTATAACCAACAAAAAGTAGAAANATAAACACCACAGGAAACGTAATAATTAGTAAGGGGGGGGGCGACTGGCCGTGGCCCGTCTCGACTTATAAATTGCCATTTTATATATATTACGAAGCGCTTTAAAAATTGACGACGTATTTCGGAGAGACCGGAAATAAGAATAAAAGTTTTTTTTTTTTAACATTTATCTCACTAATATTCGATAAAGATTTGCAATAACATTAAATAGTAAAGAAAATACTCTAGGTAAATAAATAACTGTAAATGAATATTTTAAATGCAATAAACAGCTTATTGACGCAATTATCGTATTGTTATCTGACGTGGTTTTTTATATATTATACGGTAACAAATTTGTTGGCAGTGAAAATTTTCTCCTTTTCTTTCCGTGCCGACGCCAAACCCCATCCCCGGCTAAATCCAAAATGGGCAACGGGAAAGGCCATTTCCACCGATGGCGGGTTAATTAAATCGGAGGAAGAGAGCGTTTTTCGTCCGTAATAACCGGGGAAGGGGGCGAGGAGGCCGCGTCCTCCCCGCTCGGGGGGACAGATGTGCGCGGCGTCGAAGACCCCGGGCAACGAGCGCGGAGCGTGATCGGAAGGGAAAGGATGGTTGTGATCACAGTAGCCGGCCGCGTCAGACGCGACCGTTCGCCTCCTCTTCTCGAGACGTCGCCCCCGCCGACGCCGGAACCGGAACCGGAGACGAGACCGTCTTGAAGAAATTCCTGAGAGGTGTGAAAAGATGTCTTATGACGGGCACGCTCCAAGCTTTACCCAGCAGCTGCTGTCTTCGTCCCAGAGGGATGTTGCCCACGTCCGTATAGTGGCGAGGGAATCCGAACACCCTGTCCGACAACAAAACTCTTTCGGTTAACCGTTTCCTAATTTNATGTGGAGGATTCATTGTATATATCAGTCTCATAAAAGAAAACCTGAGACTTGTGTAACAGTTGGAGCCTGTAATTTCCTTGTTCATATGCGAAAATAAAGTGTGTTTCTTGTATACTATACTTTGTGTAATTGTGTAATAGTATATTCGGCCTCAGGCAGAATACTGAATATTTGGCCAGGAGCATGGCCAAATAGCCAAATATTTGGTTTGATTAACGCATGTACAAAAATTTGCGTGCAAACCGCATTATGGCAAGGATTGTGCACCTTGCTCTCTTTGGCCTGCTGTCACTATGCTTTGCTAATCATGTTAATTCTTGACAGTTGTAGTGGACAGACATGAGCATCATGGCAGTATGTGATAAGTGATGATATCAAATGTGGATAACAATGAAATGACCTACACATGTAAATAATGGAAAAAAAAAAAAAAAACAGAGAAGGGTGAAAATGTGAAAATAAATATGAAATTGAGTTGATAACATAATAGAACAAGTCAAGGCAGCTTATTGGCGCGAAATTCGCGGCCGTCAATACCAAATAATTGTTCTTCCAATTAGAATTGGAAGAACAATTTTCATGGTGAACTCAATTGTTANTATCAGTCGAATTAGTGTTAAACTAATTTCTTAAATTTATGACGAGAATTAATTTGATAATCATTGTTAAGAGATTTCTTTCAGGATATTTTCATTTCACTGTTAATTGTAATTTCGAAATTTTCAAAATAAAATTTTTCTATTCAAAAATTTGGAATTCTATGCAGTGATTGTAATGTTTTTTTCAGTGTAATAACAACATCCTGACTAATTTATAATTTCTTATTGATTTTAAATATACTGTACCTATATTTTTAAAATATATATGCTTACTTACGTGTATAATCCTGGAATATTACCCCAAAAATAACGTGCTCTATTTTGAGGAGAAAAATATTTGGAATCAAGCATAGCTGGTTCACACTAAAAAAAAAAAATATATATATAATTCATAATTTTTTTCATTACTCTCATATATATTTTAAATATAGATATATTGTATATTTACTACAAAATATATCTATATTGAAAATTATATAGAAGTAATGTAAAAGTTTTTTGGCGTGCGGATTAAATTTAATCTCCGATCACAACTCCAGAGTTGACAGTTTTTCGAGCCTAGGAATTTGATGAGAAGAGTAAACTATTCATTGTCCAATTGTTTTGTCTACTAGAACTATTTTCTTTGTTCTCTACACTTGCCTTGAGTTTAGTTTATCTTTCTGTATAATATATAACACCCATACGGGGTATAACTGAACTCAGTGCAAATATTTTAGGGATAGGTTCTAGAGTTAAAATTACCTTAAAATTCTATAAAGATTTCTCAAAATTTACTTTGTATGACTTATGGTTTGCCCAAAAAAGATAATTTTCAAATTCCATGTAAATATACTGTATTAACAATAGAGTTGTAAACTTTTTAAAGTAATTTTATATATTTTTTAATACTTCTGACAACTGATTGAGGTAAGTAAATGTTGCCTAACTGGCCCTAATGTAATAAATGTAAACAAAGCCGTAGCCACTTTAAGATTGTTTTAATTATCTACTGTATCTGTTTTGGAGTAAAAACACAGTTGAAAAGCAAAAATTTTTCAATGTAAATTTACTTTGAATAACATTTCATTTTTACTAAATGAAACAGAATAATTTACAATAATTTATCAAAATGTCCTGTGTGGATGTGGATGCATAATTGCATACAACAAACCAGTAACACAAGCGCACAGGCTAACATGTATTCAGAAAAATAATTTTTAACATTTAAAATGAAAAGCTTTAGTGTGTACTTGTTGGTAAAACAGGAGTGAAAACAAGCAGTGATATCTTTTTGGTAAGAATTTTAAAATTGGTTTCTGTTATATTTTGACAGCCCATTTTCGACTCTATAATCTATCCCTAAAATATTAGCACCGAGTTCAATTACATCCTGCATATATTTTTTTTCTTCCTACATTTGTTATGCAATAATGATTTAATAGAGTCGAAAACTGAATTATTTGAGTAAAATATTAGAGTGATTTTCACTGAAACAATTGTTTGATTTGAAAGCATTAAAATGTTCTTCTCGTGTAATTTAAAGTTTTTAACTCCATTAAAGCACTTTAAGATTTATTTTCTCCAGAGTGGCATTTTTAGTTTCTTCTAATACAAATGTTGTTTGATATTTTTGGTTATATAAAATTATCAGATATACTAAACCTGTAGAAAACGTGTAATAGTGGATTTATATTCTTGAGGCATTGATGCTACGTTTTCATATAACCAGAATACATGTCTTCCTTTGTTTGCTAATTGCACAGCTTTCAAAACTCGGAAAAAATCAAAAAACAATTTTCCGGTTCCTGTTGGATCTGAAAAAAAAACACTAAAATTAATTTATTTTATATATTCATATAGCAATAAATTATATACATTATAATAAATTTACCGTATAATCCCTTTCTTGCAGGATTTACTAAAGAAAGATCATTACATGGTGAACCTCCGATAACTAAATCAATTGGGCAAAGTTTAGCAACCTATATACAAAAAATTCACTTATTTATCTAAAATAAATAATAAATACATATGTAATATATTAATGTATGAAAATGTTTTATATATATATTATAATTAAAGATATATTTTTGATATTCTGATTGATATTCAGTAGTTTTAATTGGTTTGTGAAAGTTGTTATTTTTTGACTAGTAGAAGTACAAAGTAAAAAGATGACATGAAATAAAGCACAAAGTAATATTAATATTTAAACTATTTACAATTTTAAGATAAACTACATACATAATAAAATAAATAATTAACAAGGAACATCACTCAAGCATCCCTCTCTATTCTGATGTTTCTATAAATACCGGTGGCCAAAAGATTTTGTTAGATCGAGATCGAAGAATCTATTTAAAAGTTTCAAGCAAAACTTTTCCATGTGTGTTTACCTCCTTAAGTTTAACTAATTACTAGAATTTTAGTTTGAAATATATAAAAATATTTTAGAAACTACAATTTTCTAATAATGTGGCGGCCAAAAGTTTTCATTACACTTAAAATTTTATTAATAAAGAATAATGTAAATTAGTATACGTTGAAATTATATCAGATTATTTTAATCAGATATCACTCAATGAAGATCAATTTTAGATTTAGCATGGGTATATGATCAGAAAGGGTATAATTCCATCTCTCTTGCTCAGAGGAAAATGTTCTGTTATGATTATTACTTATTTATAAAATTCTTTTATTGTTTAAAAAAATTAAACGAATATATAAATAAAAATTATTTAATTTCTATTTTTTTCTCATATTTTATTTTTAGAGAGTGTAAACTTAAAATTTTTTACAAAATAGAATGTAATCTGGTCCTGTGTGAATATTAAATTTTTCTTAAAATCTGAACATAATTAAATATAAAAAGAATTTTGATTTCAAAATTAAATCAAATCATATAATAAAAATATTCATACTTCTGCATCAGTAATTTCTTCTATAGGCCCTAAATGTAATATATTTGTTTTATGTTGAACAATGGCAACATTTATAGCATCTTGATCTATCTCACTTGCATAATAAACTTCTACATCTATTCCCAACAGATCTAGAACATATCTTCCTATAAATATTTACAAAAATAAAATAAAATTAATAAAATAATAATCTTTCAAAACTAATTTCATTTGAAATTCATTTATCATACTAAGAATAATATCTAAAAAATTAATCTTTAATGCAGTGTTTTTCAACCTTTTTCTAATAGTAGCACAGCAACTTGGTAATTTTTTCTTGCAGCACCTCTACTCCTTTATATAATTTAATGCACGTTATAAATACATGTACAATTAGTTTAAACTGTACACAATATTTTCAATAAAATAATTACAAAAGGTGTAACGTAATTTATAATTTTTATTACATATGAATATACAATAACTTTTATTAATACAAGTAAAAAGCATTATGTTGCGTGCTGCTCATCACTATATTTTGTGTCATCCTTGAAATGTCATTGAAGTACCCTAGTGTGCCATGGCAACTCAGTTGAAAAATCACTGCCTTAAAGTGATATTTCTTTAACTTATTTTTATTGAATTTTTTAATATAATTCCTAATCTGACAAATTATTTACATTTAAACTTGTAAGGCTATTTAATAATAAGCTTCTTGTCTCTAATGATTAATTATCTCAAACTTCCAAATGGCAGAGATATATAGAAGACTTATAAAACTGCATTGAAACATTAAAATAATTGAGATCACATCTTTAAAAAATCAATTTTATTAGTGGAATGCATTCTGGTCATACATAAACCCTCTTTGGCCACTTTTATACAAATATTGATATATACAATATTGTAAATCATTATTTAACATCCAGTTTTAAACTAAATATACATAAAACTACAAAAGAAAACAAATCTGTACTATTTTAATACACCCATGTAAATTTTTAGTACTTAAGTAAGTACTAAAAATTTAAATGAGTGTATTAAACTTCCATGTAGCTATATGGTTACAGATTCTTCTATAAAACCTACCAACAGTTCACACAGATAATTCCTCATATAACCTTGCATTAAGCAGGTCTATAACTATACTCAATAGTGATCTCCCTTAGTAAGAACTGCTAACCATGACCCAGGATTCACATACTTTTCTTCTTAAATTGTCATTAATTCTTTCATTAACATTCATAATTTTAAATTTTGAAAGTTTGAGATAATTGTAAAGCTATATTTATAAATAAAAATAACACATTATTATTTGTAATTTTAAAAATAATAAAAATTTGAAATTATCACTTTCTGCAGTGGAGGTTAGTCCTTGAAAATGTCCACGCAGAAAGGAGATTTTATGATTTTTTAAAGACAAAAATTATCTTTAAAAAAATCACAAAAAAAAGAACTAACAATATTTATGTCATAATATATTGGGATGTATTACTTTATACTTTCATTAACATTACAGGGGGTCATGTTGTCCATCAAAAAATTTGCAATTTGTGAAAATTATATTCATCTTGTATACAGGTTAACAACACTCGTTAATAAGTACTGGTAAAATATACAATAAACTCCCAACAACCTTTAAATAACCAGTAAAATATTTTAAAATACTACAATTTATATTCATCTGGTGATTGGAGAGGCAGATAGCCAGAGCACAGTCTGGAAAAAAGTTACTTGGCAAAAAAGAGTATCACAGACATGAATTGGTCTTGGTCTACTGTTAATAAACAAAGATAAAGTTGCTTGAGAAACTCAGTCATAAAAAAACTCTGCATTTTTTTTTTTTATATTGTCAGTTGTCCTTTCATTTCAGATTGGTACAATAAATCACAGTAAGTGAAAAAATAACCTGGCAAACAACATTCTGTTTTGGCAAATAAAAAAATGTGTTTGGTCAATGGGTTAGTGATTGCTATAAAAGAGCCAGAGTGACCCCTGCATTATACAATTAATAGAATAATCATTAAAAAGAAAAAAATGTTTTATAAAATTATAATAACCAACTAAGATAAAAAAAAAAGTTTCAAACATTATATTTGGTACTTTGGTATTTATATGTATTTTTTACCTAGGATTATCATTTACAAAATCTAAAGTTTTATCAACTGAGAACTTTCTATCTATATCCATTTTACAAAACATTGTAGTATAAATATTAACATAATAAAAATTATAGGCAGAAACCTGTTCCTATTCCATCAAATAATGATAGCACTCTAATTGCCCTTTTTTCTTTGTAATCATCCATTGATGGTGGTAACTGTACATGTTTTTCTGGTTGAAACAGCTGCATCACATTTTGTTGCCATTCCTCTTTTTTTCGAATTAAACCATTTAATTCAGGATCATATTCTGAACATAAGTAACAGAGCCACGGACTAGTTGCTAGCACCTTTATGAATGAAATTACTTTGATTTATATTTTATATTAAATTATTATATTTTATTTTTAATAAATAAATATAGTTTTACAAAATATAACTAAATTAGGGGTCATCCATTAATACGTGTACAGTTTTTAAGTTATATTTACCCCCTTCTTCCATGTTGTGTACAGTGATGTAATTTTGGCAAATTCTTTCCCTTTTAATTACATGAACTATAGTTCATGGACATCGGAGACATGTCCTTAAAAAGTTCTGCAAATATTTTTTGACAGTTTTAATCACATGACTAGAAAGCATGCTTATAAGGTCAAATGCACTAAAATATCATTAAAAAGTCCATGCAGATAATGCCTCAACTCTCTCCTTTAAACTGTACATGTAATTAATGGAAGCCCTTAACTGTTATTCAGAATTATTTAACTTTTTTAGATGGGTCTATATTATATTTTTGGAAATTTTTAGACTACATCATTTTACATTCTTTATATATTACGAAAAATTTTACAAAAACATATTTATATTTTAAAAATTTTTATTTTCATTTTATAAATTAAGCCAAAATTAAAAGCGGTCCAAAAACTTTCCAAAAAAAAAAATATTTATAATTAATAACACTTTGAACATATATAAAATAATTATTCTATTTCTATGTTCAATAATTAATTTACTTTAATACAGAAAATTTGATATTTTTACTAAAATATTATAATATATTTATCTTACAGAAAATTTTAATTATATTTAATATTCAATAAAGACCTTTTTATGAGCTCCAGGAGCCACTAAAACATCCACGCAACCTGTACAATAACACCTATAAAAAATATATCTATTATATAAGAGTAAATAGTACAATAAAAATTTATTATGCATATGTTAAGAGAAAACCAATTCACAAAATAGCAAGAATATTTTCTTTTGTGGAAATAAAAAAATTTAACTTCGTAATCCATATTCATTACTCACCAAAAAAATTAAGTTAAACAAAATAGTTATATTTCATTAACTCATCAACTTTTTATGATACAATATTATGTATCAAATTCCACTTTATTTTTTATAGAATATTACATGTTCACAATTATTACTAATTTATTAATTTCTATTACTGAAGCTTGCTATCCATTTAAAGAAACTAAACATCCAGTACAAATTAAATGCTCTGAAATAGAACATATTTTTAAATGAAAATGTTTTTGATAGTCAACATAGATTTAGAAAAATATGTTTGAAAATAAGGATTCACAGAGAAGTAATCTATTTACAAATATAAAACATGTCTGTTTTCATTAGGAACATTGATTGTTGAAGAGAGATAATAGATAATCAAGTTTATAAAGATGTGATGTGCATATCCAGATGCATATATATATATATATATATATATAGGATATTGCATAACGATTTAACTCGGTATTTTCTGATGTCATGTATTGCATAAGAAATTTTTACTTATCACTTGAAAATTTCAAATTTAGAATTTTTTAATTCTCTTTAAATGGGGAGTTAATCTTTCAAAAAACCCTTGTACATAGCCTTGATCTAAATAACTGACTTTCTTGAATGTAACTGAACTGAAACTCAAAAATTATTATAAAAAATTATATCTTGAATACAAGGTTAGAATTACAGGGG